TTCCTGCAGGCTCTTATCAACATTATTTATCAAAAACACAGGTTATTATCAAAAATGTAGGCTTTTGTTTGAATGATACTCGTATATATTTAAATACAATATGTATGTAAATTTAGTTAAATGTTTTTTATGTACATATACATGTATGCAAACCTATTGTTTCGTTTGTATATATACATATATACATACCTACACAGGAATAGGTACATATGCATATGTGTAGGTATGTAGCTATATACACCCCAAATAAAAAAAAAGCGCCTTCAGCCCTGGTGGAAGAAATTAATGTTGTTTAAAAACTCTTAGAAAATTGTGTTCTATTGATATTATTTTTCGATATCACGTTCTCATTGTTTAATTACAGGATTAGCACGTAAAATGAGATATATGTAATAAAATAACTAATGTCTTTGTATCTAACAAGTCCCAATACTCAATTTTTTTTTTACGAAATATTACGAATTTTTGGCTTCGTTGCTGGTTTTTTCTTTAAATGCCACTGATCGTGTCATATTTTTTATTATTTTTTTCTTTTTTTTTAAGTAAAAAAGAGTTTAATATTTTAAAAAATCTCAGGATATTATACACATTTTTTAAAAAGCTTCCCATTTAAATTCTATTGCACGAAAAAGAAAGAAAGGTAGGAGGAAAGAAAAAATGAAAAAAATTTCAAATTCATATTTCAGTATGGTTTCAAATGTTAATGAGGAAGCATGTATGATTTTTTATGCACATTTTGCATTTCCCAATAAGGTAAGTTGAGTAGCGTCGGCTAACAAAAATGTTAGTAAAAGTAATATAGGTTGACACATTTCAACAATTTGAATTATCTCATATCGGTTATTTATACGTTACTTATAAAATTGTTTCAAATAATTTCAGTTAGTTTTTAAGTTATTAAAAATAAATATGTATGTACCTACTTCCAATAATTTTTTTTTAAATAATTATTTTAAAACTATTTTAAACATGTTATATTGAGTGCTTCAAAAATTTTGCTGTGCTCTTTTTTCATATTTTATTAGCAGGTAAAAAAGAGCAATCTATTTATAAAATATCCCTGCATGTGTATGTATGACCTATCTTAATTCTAAACGGAAAGAATTTTAAAATACCTGAACAAAAATTTTAAAATACCTGTAACATACCATTTATTTCAAAAATAGAAAAATATTGAAATCCGGTCATAAAAATATATGATTGTTTTTTCCAAACATTTTAAATATTTTTTTTTCTTAGGTAATTGATATAAATGATAGTAAGTTTTTAATATTTTTTCAAATAAAAATAGAGGTAAAATTTTGAAGTTTATATAAAATTTGTATTTAACAAATAATATTTGATTGTATTTTAGATATTATTTTCTAATTCCCTCTTTAAATTTTTTCTTTACTATGTACTTATTTATATCAATATTTAAGAATTATATTTCATTAATTATATTTTCAACTCGACACCACAGTTACTCCCCATATCTTGAGTTAACTTACCCTATGAGAAAAAAAAGCTGTTCACTTAAAAATAATGAAATGCTTTCAGTAACGTATAAAACGTTGAAGGCGAAGGTTGTGCTTGTTGTTTTTCCGCTTCTTTTTTAATTTTAAAATAATTATCAATGAAAATATTAATATATTTTTTGATTTTTCAAATATATTTTCTAAATTTTACCTGCTTTATAATAAGTGTGAATTTATTTTAATATTTCTTCTCAAAAAATAGCCACTTCGATTTAAAAAAACCCATATCAAATAAGGTCGTGCTTTCAAGTTTCTCTCTGAGCATTGGGACTTGTTAGATATAAAGACATTAAAATAACATATAATGATGGGTTCTTAAAACTCAATCACATGAGGAACCTATATGGTATTAGTAATTATTTTTGGTAGGAAAATATTAACCCCTTATTTAAATAAAAATAAGTTCTTTGTTTTTGTGGATATTCTATACAAGGGTCCAAATGGTAGAAAAGAAGTTTCTTTCAGGCGAAATAAAATATTATTAATGTTCTCTGTTTAAATTTTAGAATTATAAAAGTTGAACAAACTAATCTTAAAAAATCTGATGTGATCAGCACATAACCGACCGCAATGTCTATTGTCTAGTTAAGTGAAAGTGTTACACAATATTTTAAAAATGTCTGTTAAATACTTCTTTCCAATTTTTAAGACATTAATAAGCTTAGAGTTAACATACCTAGAAAAATGTAAATTTGGCTCTTAGTAGAGTTTCGTTTTGTGCTACCCGAATTCCCTGAAATGCTCGCCAGTTAGTTTCGGTAACAACCAGAACTCAAATATCCAATTTCAAGAAATTCCATCAATTCGTTCTGTAGATATGAAAAAAAATTTAAAAATGGCCCGCAGAACAGTTTTCGAGCCCTGATCTTTCCAAAAAATTTATAAGTTCTTTGTTTTAGTACAAATAATTTGAATGTTAAATTTCAATGAAATCGGTCATAGTAACGTCCAGTTGCGGACACCTGATTTCTTCCAAAAGTTAGGAGGCTTCGCGAACTGTCGAGCTGAGCTTATATATGAAATTTCAAGTAAATCGGTTGAATATTTTCTTCAAAATGGTCAAAAATGTAAAACAGGCCCCCTAAAAAGTCCAGTTCCCGAGGCCTGATATATTTCAAAAGTTGATCAATCTGTGCCACGGTCGAAATAAACTTACATATAAAATTTCATCAAAATCGGTTCAGCCGAACTTGAGATACACGCGTGCACACACAAACCGGATGACCGACAGACCGGCAGGTTGCTAAAAATAGTTTATTTACACTTCCCTACTATGGAGGAGTGCATTCCCACCGAAAACTCGATATGCAAAATTTCTTGCCATCACATCCCCTACCTATTGTATACACAATACGTAAATTATGTGTTATGTTTACATATTATGTGTAAATTATGTGTTATATGGTTATACGAGTATGTATTACACAAATTGCTTTTAAAGGCCATTCCAGCTTCTTGACAGAAACTAAAATATTTTGTGTAGCTACATAGTGTTGCTTTTCTTATTTTGTAGTTGAGAGTGTAGTTTTTCATTTTTGACATTTATGCTAAATAAAAACAGGAATGTGCAGTTAACCGAATAAATTTACATATTTAGTATTACATGAGGGAAAAAATATATGTGCAGATAAGCGTGTTGTGCACTTATCCGAATTCCACTTAAACGAATTTTTTTATATGAAAAAATCGAAAAAAGTACAAGCCACGAAAATTTGATGCAATTAAGCTTGAAATCCACTTAAGCGTAATCCACTTAACCGTGTTTTACTGTATATGGATACATATATTATGTTTTATACTCGTATGTATTACGAAAACGTAGAATGGTTTGTGTTACGGTATGCCAATTTTGTAGAATTAGTCTCAGTTTAGACCGAATGATTAGGTGGTGAATCAGTATATGGATGAGTAGGAAAAAGTTTTCAGAATATCTTCAAAATTGATATATCTATTAAGAACAGATTTAAACACGTCTGGTTTTATCTTATTCAAGTTCTAAACAATTTCGAGAGTTTTTGAGCAATATATGTATGTAATTATGAATAAATTACCAAAAACTACTGATGATCCAGTAATAATTATTCGAATAACAACTTTTAGTGATAAATGGCTATTTCATTTTCATAGTTCTCTACAAGGAAAAAAGTCTTACATTGATCTAATTACCTTTGATAAATTTGTCGTATAATAATCATTCTTTTGTGTACCATAGATTAATCTTTTCTGCCATTGTACGAGGGTCACTATTTATATTTCGGGTCTAGCAATAAAAAACAAACATTTATCATTGGAAATGGTTTTATTGTTTTTCAAAATATTCCCCATGAAGATCAATACACTTTTGCATGCGCTGAAACCAATTTTCGTAGCACTTTTTCCACTCCGATTGAGACACCTCCAAAACATGGTTTTTGAACGCATCGACTGCTTCTTCAGGTGTTGAAAATCGTTGTCCACGCATTTTTTTTTTTGATGTGAGGGAATAAGAAGAAGTCATTGGGTGCTAAATCAGGACTGTACGGCGGATGACCCATCAATTCGACATTTTGAGTGCTCAAATAGTCCATTGTTTCAGCTGATTTGTAAGAGCTTGCATTGTCATGATGAAGAATGATTCGCCGGCGCTTGTTTGTTTTCCTTATTTCTTCGAAAACTTTCGGCAAACAGATGGTGGTGTACCATTCAGAATTGACCGTCCTACGTTCCACTAAAGGTACTGTGGCCACATGACCGGTTATACCAAAAAAAAACGCGATCATTTGCTTCGATGTGCTTCTTCCACGAACAACTTTTGTTGGATTTGGCTCGTCTTGGAACACCCATACGGTCGATTGCTATTTCGTTTCGGGCTCATATGCATAGATCCATGATTCATCACCTGTGACTATCTTATAAACGTCTTTTGACGCATCGCGATTGAATTTTTTCAACATTTCTTTGCTCCAATCGACACGAGCCTTCTTTTGTGCAATCGTCAAATTTTTTGGGATCCATCGACAACACACCTTTTTCACGGCAAGATGTTCATGCAATATCTTATGTACGCTGGTGGAACTAATGCCCAAGGATGCCTCAATCTCACAGTATGTCATATAATTGAATAATTTTATTATGTACGTACATATTTATTTTTTAATTGAATTAAATATAAATTATTACATAATTTTTTATATGTTGTTATAAACTGTTTTATTGTTTCGTAAAAAAAACAGAAATTGACAAATCAGCTATGTGTACATACATACATATGCATACATATAAAGATGTGTATAAATACATATATGAAACGTGAAAAAGAATTACCATATCAAAGTTAAAAATATATCAAAATTATAATTTAGTTTTGATTATATTAAGCTACATACAATGTTCAAGCATTTATTTAATTAAAAAGCAAAATTTGAAATATTTTTGTGTAAAAAATTTATGATAAATTATTGTGTTGTATATTATATAAATAATTAATAATTTGCGAAGTGTGCCAAACTCTTTTTGTCACTTTTGTTTTGGCACTTGATTTTATTTTGTACGGAAATCAATGATTGCATAAAATGTAGTTCGTAAATTATGATAAATGAAATAATACTTTGTAATATTTTAACTTCATTCAAAAATTTTTAGTTTGTTTTAAAAGTTTACGTATACAAAATAATAAAAAATGAATGTGATTTCTATAAAAATGGCAAAAATTTTCTTATTAAAAGGATTTATTACAATAATTTTATTAGGACACATTAAATCGCAAGGTAAATCATAATTTAATTTTTTTTTGTTAGATATATGTAGATGTTAAAAATCATCGAGTGGTAAAGATAAGCGGACGCAAATTATTGTTATTGGATGACTTTATCCTAACCTAAAACGCATCTGAGTGTTCATAACTTACTAAAACTAGTCAGATTGACTCCTCCGCCACAAGTTAATTTGAGTCCTTTTGTGCCCTTTCCCCGCCACAATTTAATTTGATTCAAATTGAAATAATATTTATTTAATTCTAATTTATTTTAATAATATTATTTTAAAGTGGAGAACCCATAAAAATTTTGTTGCGTTGCATGTTGTTTTACCATATTCCATTTGCCCTTTTTGTACATAAGTCAAACCTTATCATATTCTTACCAGAAATATTCAAAATTGGATAAAATTCCTGCAGGCTCTTATCAACATTATTTATCAAAAACACAGGTTATTATCAAAAATGTAGGCTTTTGTTTGAATGATACTCGTATATATTTAAATACAATATGTATGTAAATTTAGTTAAATGTTTTTTATGTACATATACATGTATGCAAACCTATTGTTTCGTTTGTATATATACATATATACATACCTACACAGGAATAGGTACATATGCATATGTGTAGGTATGTAGCTATATACACCCCAAATAAAAAAAAAGCGCCTTCAGCCCTGGTGGAAGAAATTAATGTTGTTTAAAAACTCTTAGAAAATTGTGTTCTATTGATATTATTTTTCGATATCACGTTCTCATTGTTTAATTACAGGATTAGCACGTAAAATGAGATATATGTAATAAAATAACTAATGTCTTTGTATCTAACAAGTCCCAATACTCAATTTTTTTTTTACGAAATATTACGAATTTTTGGCTTCGTTGCTGGTTTTTTCTTTAAATGCCACTGATCGTGTCATATTTTTTATTATTTTTTTCTTTTTTTTTAAGTAAAAAAGAGTTTAATATTTTAAAAAATCTCAGGATATTATACACATTTTTTAAAAAGCTTCCCATTTAAATTCTATTGCACGAAAAAGAAAGAAAGGTAGGAGGAAAGAAAAAATGAAAAAAATTTCAAATTCATATTTCAGTATGGTTTCAAATGTTAATGAGGAAGCATGTATGATTTTTTATGCACATTTTGCATTTCCCAATAAGGTAAGTTGAGTAGCGTCGGCTAACAAAAATGTTAGTAAAAGTAATATAGGTTGACACATTTCAACAATTTGAATTATCTCATATCGGTTATTTATACGTTACTTATAAAATTGTTTCAAATAATTTCAGTTAGTTTTTAAGTTATTAAAAATAAATATGTATGTACCTACTTCCAATAATTTTTTTTTAAATAATTATTTTAAAACTATTTTAAACATGTTATATTGAGTGCTTCAAAAATTTTGCTGTGCTCTTTTTTCATATTTTATTAGCAGGTAAAAAAGAGCAATCTATTTATAAAATATCCCTGCATGTGTATGTATGACCTATCTTAATTCTAAACGGAAAGAATTTTAAAATACCTGAACAAAAATTTTAAAATACCTGTAACATACCATTTATTTCAAAAATAGAAAAATATTGAAATCCGGTCATAAAAATATATGATTGTTTTTTCCAAACATTTTAAATATTTTTTTTTCTTAGGTAATTGATATAAATGATAGTAAGTTTTTAATATTTTTTCAAATAAAAATAGAGGTAAAATTTTGAAGTTTATATAAAATTTGTATTTAACAAATAATATTTGATTGTATTTTAGATATTATTTTCTAATTCCCTCTTTAAATTTTTTCTTTACTATGTACTTATTTATATCAATATTTAAGAATTATATTTCATTAATTATATTTTCAACTCGACACCACAGTTACTCCCCATATCTTGAGTTAACTTACCCTATGAGAAAAAAAAGCTGTTCACTTAAAAATAATGAAATGCTTTCAGTAACGTATAAAACGTTGAAGGCGAAGGTTGTGCTTGTTGTTTTTCCGCTTCTTTTTTAATTTTAAAATAATTATCAATGAAAATATTAATATATTTTTTGATTTTTCAAATATATTTTCTAAATTTTACCTGCTTTATAATAAGTGTGAATTTATTTTAATATTTCTTCTCAAAAAATAGCCACTTCGATTTAAAAAAACCCATATCAAATAAGGTCGTGCTTTCAAGTTTCTCTCTGAGCATTGGGACTTGTTAGATATAAAGACATTAAAATAACATATAATGATGGGTTCTTAAAACTCAATCACATGAGGAACCTATATGGTATTAGTAATTATTTTTGGTAGGAAAATATTAACCCCTTATTTAAATAAAAATAAGTTCTTTGTTTTTGTGGATATTCTATACAAGGGTCCAAATGGTAGAAAAGAAGTTTCTTTCAGGCGAAATAAAATATTATTAATGTTCTCTGTTTAAATTTTAGAATTATAAAAGTTGAACAAACTAATCTTAAAAAATCTGATGTGATCAGCACATAACCGACCGCAATGTCTATTGTCTAGTTAAGTGAAAGTGTTACACAATATTTTAAAAATGTCTGTTAAATACTTCTTTCCAATTTTTAAGACATTAATAAGCTTAGAGTTAACATACCTAGAAAAATGTAAATTTGGCTCTTAGTAGAGTTTCGTTTTGTGCTACCCGAATTCCCTGAAATGCTCGCCAGTTAGTTTCGGTAACAACCAGAACTCAAATATCCAATTTCAAGAAATTCCATCAATTCGTTCTGTAGATATGAAAAAAAATTTAAAAATGGCCCGCAGAACAGTTTTCGAGCCCTGATCTTTCCAAAAAATTTATAAGTTCTTTGTTTTAGTACAAATAATTTGAATGTTAAATTTCAATGAAATCGGTCATAGTAACGTCCAGTTGCGGACACCTGATTTCTTCCAAAAGTTAGGAGGCTTCGCGAACTGTCGAGCTGAGCTTATATATGAAATTTCAAGTAAATCGGTTGAATATTTTCTTCAAAATGGTCAAAAATGTAAAACAGGCCCCCTAAAAAGTCCAGTTCCCGAGGCCTGATATATTTCAAAAGTTGATCAATCTGTGCCACGGTCGAAATAAACTTACATATAAAATTTCATCAAAATCGGTTCAGCCGAACTTGAGATACACGCGTGCACACACAAACCGGATGACCGACAGACCGGCAGGTTGCTAAAAATAGTTTATTTACACTTCCCTACTATGGAGGAGTGCATTCCCACCGAAAACTCGATATGCAAAATTTCTTGCCATCACATCCCCTACCTATTGTATACACAATACGTAAATTATGTGTTATGTTTACATATTATGTGTAAATTATGTGTTATATGGTTATACGAGTATGTATTACACAAATTGCTTTTAAAGGCCATTCCAGCTTCTTGACAGAAACTAAAATATTTTGTGTAGCTACATAGTGTTGCTTTTCTTATTTTGTAGTTGAGAGTGTAGTTTTTCATTTTTGACATTTATGCTAAATAAAAACAGGAATGTGCAGTTAACCGAATAAATTTACATATTTAGTATTACATGAGGGAAAAAATATATGTGCAGATAAGCGTGTTGTGCACTTATCCGAATTCCACTTAAACGAATTTTTTTATATGAAAAAATCGAAAAAAGTACAAGCCACGAAAATTTGATGCAATTAAGCTTGAAATCCACTTAAGCGTAATCCACTTAACCGTGTTTTACTGTATATGGATACATATATTATGTTTTATACTCGTATGTATTACGAAAACGTAGAATGGTTTGTGTTACGGTATGCCAATTTTGTAGAATTAGTCTCAGTTTAGACCGAATGATTAGGTGGTGAATCAGTATACGGATGAGTAGGAAAAAGTTTTCAGAATATCTTCAAAATTGATATATCTATTAAGAACAGATTTAAACACGTCTGGTTTTATCTTATTCAAGTTCTAAACAATTTCGAGAGTTTTTGAGCAATATATGTATGTAATTATGAATAAATTACCAAAAACTACTGATGATCCAGTAATAATTATTCGAATAACAACTTTTAGTGATAAATGGCTATTTCATTTTCATAGTTCTCTACAAGGAAAAAAGTCTTACATTGATCTAATTACCTTTGATAAATTTGTCGTATAATAATCATTCTTTTGTGTACCATAGATTAATCTTTTCTGCCATTGTACGAGGGTCACTATTTATATTTCGGGTCTAGCAATAAAAAACAAACATTTATCATTGGAAATGGTTTTATTGTTTTTCAAAATATTCCCCATGAAGATCAATACACTTTTGCATGCGCTGAAACCAATTTTCGTAGCACTTTTTCCACTCCGATTGAGACACCTCCAAAACATGGTTTTTGAACGCATCGACTGCTTCTTCAGGTGTTGAAAATCGTTGTCCACGCATTTTTTTTTTTGATGTGAGGGAATAAGAAGAAGTCATTGGGTGCTAAATCAGGACTGTACGGCGGATGACCCATCAATTCGACATTTTGAGTGCTCAAATAGTCCATTGTTTCAGCTGATTTGTAAGAGCTTGCATTGTCATGATGAAGAATGATTCGCCGGCGCTTGTTTGTTTTCCTTATTTCTTCGAAAACTTTCGGCAAACAGATGGTGGTGTACCATTCAGAATTGACCGTCCTACGTTCCACTAAAGGTACTGTGGCCACATGACCGGTTATACCAAAAAAAAACGCGATCATTTGCTTCGATGTGCTTCTTCCACGAACAACTTTTGTTGGATTTGGCTCGTCTTGGAACACCCATACGGTCGATTGCTATTTCGTTTCGGGCTCATATGCATAGATCCATGATTCATCACCTGTGACTATCTTATAAACGTCTTTTGACGCATCGCGATTGAATTTTTTCAACATTTCTTTGCTCCAATCGACACGAGCCTTCTTTTGTGCAATCGTCAAATTTTTTGGGATCCATCGACAACACACCTTTTTCACGGCAAGATGTTCATGCAATATCTTATGTACGCTGGTGGAACTAATGCCCAAGGATGCCTCAATCTCACAGT